GGGGGATTTGGGGGGGGGGGGCTACGCTGTTTTGTTTTTTTATTGTTTCTGTGGACTGTCAAAAGTTAAAAAGAAAAAAAGTAAACATATCACCTTTTTTTAATGTCATTAATGAAAATTTTGTATTTGAATACCGAAGCAAATTGGCTTTCGGACCCAAATCCCGAAAAACAAAATAACGAAAAATCCGAAATGAAATGAAACAAAACAAATTTTTTTGCCAGAGCACACGTCTAATTTTATTCACTGAAATTTAAATTGTGTTTTCTTTAAGCTTCATACTGGAAATATGGAACTGCAGAATGGACTTGTACAAGGCCACGCCTACACAGTCACGGAGGGTTTACAGGTACACGACCTTCACAATGTTTTGGTCATTTCATGGTGTTGATATTCAAATATTTATAGTTGCACAAGACAAATTATTGACAGTAAAATCTCCAGTCCGGTAGATATTTTTTGCTTAGAGCGGACATTCAGTCAGATATATTTTTCATGTGAAGTGCAGCATGCTAAGTAATGTGTCATTGTAACACTTCCCGGTACATATTCCCTTTCGCAGAGATCACAGTACTCCCCCTGACAGTGCCTTCATCTGCCTTCAAAAGCAGTGGATGCAATGCAACACACCTACTGTAACGCAAGGCTAGGGTTGCCACCTGTCCAGGATTCACCTGGACAATCCAGGTTTTGGATGCAGTGTCGGGGTTGTGTTGCAGCTAAAACCCAGACACAAGATGTCAGACGGACAGGGGCAGCCATGGGGCCCTGGTGTTCCTGGTTGTAAACAGCCTCACGCTTGTACAAGACAGGTCTGCAGCTCAGCTACAGAATGTCTCCTCATCACTAAGTATGCCTGTGGACTGCGCTCTCTCCCCCTCCCACCCTTTCTCTCTCTCTTGTACTATGGCCCATTTACCAAGTTCTTACCAAGATCTTCAGTGGTTGTCTCTCCTCACTCTCTCCTGGCGATCTTCAGTGGTTGTCTCTCCTCACTCTCTCCTGGCTGTCTCTCCTCACTCTCTCTCCTGGCTGTCTCTCCTCCCTCTCTCTCCTGGCTGTCTCTCCTGTCCCTCCCCTGGCTGTCTCTCCTCACTCTCTCCCCTGGCTGTCTCTTATCTCTCTCTCTCCCCTGGCTGTCTCTCCTCTTTCTCCCTTGCCTTGCCTGTCTCTCCTCACTCTCTCACCTGGCTGTCTCTCATCACGTCTCTCCTGGCTGTCTCTCATCACTCTCTCTCCTGGCTGTCTCTCCTCACTCTCTCTCCTGGCTGTCTCTCCTGTCCCTCCCCTGGCTGTCTCTCCTGTCCCTCCCCTGGCTGTCTCTCCTGTCCCTCCCCTTGCTGTCTCTCCTCGCTCTCTCCCCTGGCTGTCTCTCCTCGCTCTCTCCCCTGGCTGTCTCTCCTCGCTCTCTCCCCTGGTTGTCTCTCCTCTCTCTCTCTCTCTCCCCTGGCTGTCTCTGTTCTCTCTCTCCCCTGGCTGCCTCTCCTCTCTCTCCCTTGCCTGTCTCTCCTCTCTCTCTCCCCTGGCTGTCTCTCCTCTCTCTGTCTCCCCTTGCTGTCTCTCCTCTCTCTCCCCTGGCTGTCTCTCCTCTCTCTCCCCTGGCTGTCTCTCCTCTCTCACTTCCGCTCCCTCCTCGCTCCCTCCCCTGGCTGTCTCTCCTGTCCCTCCCCTGGCTGTCTCTGCTCTCTCTCTCTCCCCTGGCTGTCTCTCCTCTCTCTCCCTTGCCTGTCTCTCCTCTCTCTCTCCCCTGGTTGTCTCTCCTCACTCTCTCCCCTGGATGTCTCTCCTGGCTGTTTCATCTCTCTCTCTCTCCCCTGGCTGTCTCTCCTCACTCTCTCCTGGCTGTCTCTCCTCTCTCCTGGCTGTTTCTCCTCACTGTCTCTCCAGCTGTCTCTCCTGTCCCTCCCCTGGCTGTCTCTCCTCGCTCTCTCCCCTTGCTGTCTCTCCTCTCTCTCCCCTGGCTGTCTCTCCTCTCTCTCTCCTGGCTGTCTCCCCTCTCTCTCTCTCTACCCTGGCTGTCTCTCCTCTCTCTCTCTCCCCTGGTTGTCTCTCCTCTCTCTCTCCCCCCTGGCTGTCTCTCATCTCTCTCTCCCCTGGCTGTCTCTCCTCTCTCTCCCCTGGCTGTCTCTCCTCTCTCTCCCCTGGCTGTCTCTCCTCTCTCTCCCCTGGCTGTCTCTCCTCACTCTGTCCCCTGGCTGTCTCTCTCCTCGCTGTGTCTCTCCTCTCTCCCCCCCCTGGCTGTCTCTCCTCTCTCTCCCCTGGCTGTCTCTCCTCTCTCTCTCCCCTGGCTGTCTCTCCTCTCTCTCTTGGTTGTCTCTTCTCGTTTTCGCCGGTATACTCTCAAAAGCAAGCAAACTGTAGTGCGGCGCTATAGTGTTTGGGTTTCGCATGAAGAAAGGGTGGCAATCCTACGCACGACATAGGTCTGAATGGGCCCTGAATGAAGCCTTATTGTGCCCACATGTGGCACATAGCTAGAGCTGTAGGAGAGGACGAACACATCCAGAAGCTGCAGGAGAGGACGGACACAGGAGAACGTCCAAAATGCTGGGGGTGGGAAGACATTTATCATCACTGGTTGTTAGGACCGCTCAGTAGTTCTGGCAACCAATGACTGCAGAGGAGGACCTCTGATATCATTGGTTGCCAGGATGCCAGTGGTCCTAGCAACCATTCACTTTAGAGGAATGTATCCAGACGCAGACCCATCAGTTACTATGGTTTGCAGAGGATTCACTGGCCTTGGAAGCCGGCGTATCCACTGTCAGCCAGCTATAACCAAGTGCGGGCCGCACATGGACAGACAAAGGGCCGGATACAGCCTGCGGGCCGTAAAACGCTCAGGTCTGCTTTTCACAGTAGTGATGGCATGATGTAAATGGCTTCTGTTTAAACACCACCATGCTGTTTGAAGGCTCATATTGTGAGGGGACCTGTATCTTACAGAAGTGCTTCAGGGTCTTTACTACACGAATAGAATGCTTTGAGGTTTGCCAGCTTCAGTGCTGAAGTCACCCATTGTGCTGGAAGCCGTGTCAAAGAACCCAATCTGGTTTTGGCGAAGCGTCAAATATGTTTGCAGAGACAATAGAAGATTAAACAAAGATGAAATGGTTTCAGTGTAAATACCGTTTCTGTGTATTGTGAATTGTTTGGCAGACTTTGGAAAGTCGAAAGCAATTTTTAAAATAAACACAAAGGAAGGAAAAGGGGAAAAACAACATTTCAAGGTCACTGAGGTTCATCTCAACAAGGGTTAGTGTTAGGGTTACAGGGAGGATTAGTGTAGTGTTAGGGTTAGTGTTAGGGTTAGTGTTAGGGTAACAGGGAGGTTTAGTGTTAGTGTTACAGGGAGGGTTATTGTAAGGGTTACAGGGAGGGTTAGTGTTAGAGGTACAGGGAGGGTTAGTTTTAGGGGTGCAGGGAGGTTTAGTGTTAGGGTTACAGGGAGGGTTAGTGTTAGGGTTACAGGGAGGATAAGTGTTAGGGTTACAGGGAGGTTTAGTGTTAGGGTAACAGGGAGGGTTAGTGTTAGGGTTACAGGGAGGGTTAGTGTTAGAGGTACAGGGAGGGTTAGTGTTAGGGTTACAGGGAGGGTTAGTGTTAGGGTTACAGCGAGGGTTAGTGTTAGGGTTACAGGGAGGGTTAGTGTTAGGTTTATGGGGGGGGTAGTGTTAGAGGTGGTAGGGTAGGCAGGGCAGCCATCAGGGGGGTACGGCCGATACTCATGTAAGGGGCCCGGGCAGCCTGGGGGGCCCGCCCGGGTCCCTTACATGACTATCGGCCGACGGTGAAGGGCGAGGAGGCGGAGGACTGGCCCTATCAGCGCAGGGCCCCAGCATTGCCGCTCCAGCGGCTTCGAGACAAGCTGGGGCCCCGTCAGCGATGCTGCTCGTCTGATGTTGTACTGGCCGGAAGTGACGTCACGTTAATGACGTGACGTCACTTCTGGCCTGTCCGGCGGCAGACGAGGCCACGTGTGCAGGTAAGAGGAGCTAGGAAGGAAAGGAGGGAGGGATGCAGCCCTGACCAGCCCACCTGAGACCCCTTCAGAGCCCACTATAGACAGTCTCAGATGGGCTGTGCAGCATCTATGGTGGGCTCTGCAGGGTCACTCTAAGGTGGGTCCTGTGTCCAGCGCGTCGCTAAGCCCTGTGTCCAGCGCGTCACTAAGCCCGTGTCCAGCGGTGGGGGGGCCCGGTCTAAAGCCACGTAAGGGCAGGGCATTGCTCTCGGCTCCCTGTATGAAAAACTACCAGTTTCAATCTCCTGCCCCTGAAATTGATGCCAGAAAAGGCTCAGAGATGGCAGTAGGGCTGTTCTGTGCCGGACATCGCACTCTGTTAGCCAGAGGTATTCAAATAACTCTCAATGCAAAGATGTCTCCTGAAAAATGACTCTTCAAATGTCTTTGTAAAAGGAAAGGCTTATTCATTCTTTTATTTTTTACAACAGTAGATGAAGCAATTATTTTGTCATTGATGTAAGTTGGACATGATTGGACAACTTCACATCCTGGTAAATTTCTCTGGGGGCACAGACTGCCTGCTCTCCAAGTGATAATGCGCTCAGCCGTCTCAGAACACAGCACTGTTCCATGTGTATGTATAATCTGCGCTGCATTGTTCTGGGCTATGCACTCAGAGTTTGCAGGTAAACTAATAAAAGAAAATGATACTGACGGAGATCTTCCTCAAGCATCTTTTGTTGTGCCGTTCCTTTCCATGGTCATTGTAGTTAGCAATAGACATGTGTTTATCTGTAAATACTATGTGAACACTGCCATCTCCTGGCGAAAGCAGATAATGGCACACATTCACCATAGCAGCCCAACTCCATGATAAAAAAATATATATATTATAATAGGGATTTGTGTCATCTCCGAGCTGGAACCTCAGTCCAGGAAGTGCAGGTGAAACTCGAATAATTAGAATATCGTGCAAAAGTAATTGCAGTAAGTGCTGCAAAAGGGGCCCAAACCAAGTACTGAGTACATATGCATGCTTGTACTTTTCAGAGGTCCGATATTGTTCTATGTACAATCCTTGTTTTATTGATTGCATGTAATAATCTACTTTTTTGAGGTTGTGGATTTGGGGTTCTTGGGGTTTTCATGAGCTGTAAGCCATAATCATCACAATTATGACAAATCACGGCTTGAATTATCTTGCTTTGCATGTAATGAGTCTATCTCGTATATTAGTTTCACCTTTTAAGTTGCATTAGTGAAATAAATGAACTTTGCACGATATTCTAATTATTCGAGTTTCACCTGTAGATGGTGAACCTAGATGATGCCAGAACAAAGATGCCCTGTCCTGCTGGAGAGAAATGCAGATGAGGGCATTGTACTGTGATCTCTCAGATGTAATAAATACCTGGAAGTGGTACACTGACACATTACTTTTACGCATGTATTTAACATGAAAAAATATATATGAAATTTACTTTAAACATTTGCTTTGTTTTCCTATTGTCCTAAATGTAACCCTGGAATACCTGTTTGTGTTGCCTAGATTGAATATAACAACAGATTAGAGGACATTGTCCGAGTGTGGAATCCTTGGGGTGCGGGCGAATGGAACGGACGCTGGAGTGATCGGTGAGATATAGAATTTTGAGCCTTTATTAGAACTTGTGAGACGAAAGGAGTGTATTTAACACTGTATGATTCACTGGACAATTCACACACTGTAATAACTAATAGGTGAGGATCAACAGGATTCACACTACATTCCACATTCACCCTACTGGGGCCCCTTACACAGCTTTAGGCCTGCCCCCCCACCAACACGCCCTCCCTTTTCACTAACACTAACCGCACTCCCTTATCACTATCCGCACTACCTATTAATTAAGAGTAACTGTCCCTCATCTATCCACTAACCCATCTTAGCCTTTTTAGGCTCCCAGGTGGGCTAGGTGGAATGTGTGAGCCCTCTAGTTGGCTGCAGGCACTGTGCGGGTTCTCAGGTGGGCTGCGGGCACTGTGTGGCTCCTAGATGGGCTGTGGGCACTGTGCAGGGTCTCAGGTGGGCTGCTGGGGAAATGTGCGGGCTCTCAGGTGGGCTGCTGGGGAACTGTGCGGGCTCTCAGGTGGGCTGCAGGCTCTGTGCGGGCTTTGAGCGGGCTCTCAGGTGGACTGCATGCTTTGTACAGGATGTGTGTGGACTCTCAGGCGGACTGCAGGCTGTGTAAGTGCTCTCAGGTGGACTGTGGGCTCTGCACGGGCTGTGTGTGGTCTCCCAGGTGGACTGCGGGCTCTGTTTGTGGGCTCTTAGGTGGACTGCGGGCTCTGTGTGAGGATTGTACGGGCTTTCAGGTGGACTGTGGGCTCTGTGCAGTGACTGTGTGTGGGCTCTCAGGTGGACTGTGGGCTCTGTGCAGCAGTGCAGGCACTGTACGGGCTCTTGGGTGTACTGCAGGCTTTGTGCAGGCACTATGTGTGGGCTCTCAGGTGGACTGCTAAAACACTTACCGTAGACTGTCATTCATGAAACTACCACTAGAGCTACAACCTGTACGTATGTGAGATAGCATCCTGAAAATATGTCAGAGCGAGCAGGAAGGAAAGATGTGAAAGTCTGAATTGAAATGATTTCCCATAGACGTTACACAAATAACACAAGATGAGTACTATTGCACAAGGCCCAATAGTTCCCCTTTAATGCCAGTTAAGCCAAGATATATTTCTAATCCATTAGCAGAGAAAATTATGTACACCCCTCATGTAATTATATGGCTGCCAGTGGAAGTAATTGATGTTCTTGATGTGGAAATAATGAGTCTTCTCAGGCTGACTGTTTATCTCACTGCGGGCTGTTGGGAGCAAAAATAAAATCTACAGTATCGGTGTTCTGGCATATTTTATAATATCTGACTATTAGCAAACTGCAGGAGTGGTGGCGACGGCTGATAATTCATGACGAAAACAAAAATACAACAAGAACCCCGGGAACGGTGGGGGGGGGAGGGTTAACTCTGGCTACATAGCTGCCATGAAACCCGGGGAAGTCAAACCTTATAAAAATTAAAAACGCACATCAAAATGCTCAGAAGATCCAGAGATGAAAAGTGCAACTGAAGCCATAACTTTCTTTTTTTTTTAGCTCTGTATATAGTGGGGAGGGATTAGAACCCCTGTGCGGTTTCTATTGCTGTCTTTGTCCCCATTAGGGGGATTTATCCTATTTTTTTCTGGTGAACATTATCACTGAAAGTGAAAGAAAATCCCAAATAATGGGTTGTCACCAGAACAGTAAAAGATGGGAAATATTCTAATGAGGACACTAGTTCTGGTGACCACCAGGGAATTCCCTCTCTTTGGAGGGATACCTTCACACTTCCCATTGTGGCTATCAGAGAGGAAGTGAATGGAAATCTCCCCAAAGGGACACAGGTGGCAAAAAAGTGTGCAGGGGTTATACCCCTCCTTTACTATATCCTAAACTAAAAACACAAGTTTTTGCTTCAGTTTCGCTACGGTAAACAGTTGACATTGTTTATTTATTTTTTACTGATTACAAATATTTATAAAGCGCCGTCAATTTACGCAGCGCTTTACATAGTTGCACATTCATATCAGTCCCTGCCCTCGAGGAGCTTACAATCTATGGTCCCGATCTCATATACATCCAGGGCCAATTTAGACAGGAGCCAATTAACCTTCCAGCATGTCTTTGGAGTGCGGGAGGAAACCGGAGTACACGGAGGAAACCCACTTGAGCACGGGGAGAACATGCAAACTCCTTGTAGATATTGATCTGACCAGGAAATGAATCAGGGACCCCATTGGTGCAAGGCAGAAGTGCTAACCACTGTAAAAGTCAGACTTGGCTCCTCTCCCCCCTCCTCCTTCTGGGCTTTCCAACTGGTTAATGAGGCTACCCCAAAAAACAACAGGGAAGCCTGGAAGCTGGCAGGAATGAGTTTGACTTCTGTAATTGTACAATTGTAAATATACAAATGAACATACAGTATATAACACACACACACACATATATTCATTCTGCCATACATAAATAGGGTATTGTGATACAAATCTACACCAGCTCTGCTATAGAACACAACCATAGTGATAATGTTTTTTAAGGTTACAGTGTCACCCACTCTGTGACACCCAGTCTAAATTACCGTTTTGGGAAAGCCGCTTCATTGTCCTTCAGCATACAAAAAAGACTTCCCGCTGCAAGCCTGACTTCCACTTTCAGTCAGTGTGTGATAATGTTTCATATACAGCTGTGGCAGTTTTTTTCACACAGTGAAAGCAGCTTACTTACTATTGCGAAAGCATCTGGAATGTACAGAGCTAAGGGTCCAGGATTCAACATTGTCTGTGCAGAGGGAGCCTTTAGCATAGTCATGAATATTTTTTGCATCATACATGTGATGCGATAACATCACTTCACTTTTTTGCAGTTCCCCGCAGTGGGATAGAGTCCAACCGGAAATGAGGAAACGGCTGAACGTTCAATCTAACGATGGGGAATTCTGGTAGGTCTATATATATATGTTATACGTTTATTCGCAATGTGACAAATGGACAAAACGTTTCCTTTTGTTTCTTGGCTCCTGACTATGGATGTTTATGTATGTGAATGTATATACTTCTGTTCCTATCATACGGCACTCTGATTGGACAAAGGTTATATTAGTTCAATCATCTGGTCAGAAATTAAACTCTGTATTAGGAAATATTCTCTCAGCCATTTTTGGCCAGCAGATGCCAAGACTGGCAAAGTAAACTCTTCTAGGGCAGGGTCTCACTAAATTATTCTGACCTAACCTACTTGATGCTAGTCATCATTCCGCTGATGTTGGATGCATGTTTGCAGGAAGCCTTCTTCTATAACCTGTGTGTGATCTACTCCGCTCTAATCTGGTTGTCCATCTGTTGCCAGTCTGTCAATTAGTGTACGTCCAGATGTCCTTCTGTGTTACTGTAAGTCAGTGAATGCCAGTCAATATATGCTAATCAATGTGTGTTAGTCTTTTAATGTATATTATGCATTTAGGGGGTCAGGGGATGAGGTTGGAGTTTGAGATTGAAGGTTTATGATCTGGAGAACATGGGTGGTCAGGACATTTATATAAAGGGGTGCACTTTACTTACTACATTTTTGTAAAGGGGTGCACTTCACTTTCTACCATAGGAAGGTGTGGGGCCCCTTCACTGGCCACGGACCAAGGAGGTTTCTTCATTGGTCACCCTCAGAAAGGATGGGGACTGCTTGTTGGACCTCCATCGGACAGGGCGAGAGCCACTTCACTGGCTACTGATGTAAGGGCTGCTTCACTGACCACCGAGGAGGTCGGGGCCACGTCACCGGCCACTGGTGTAAGGGCTGCTTCACTGGCCACCAACGAGGTGGGCGCCACGTCACTGGCCACTGGTGTAAGGGCTGCTTCACTGACCACCGAGGAGGTGGGGGCCACGTCACTGGCCACTGGTGTAAGGGCTGCTTCACTGACCAACAACAAAGAGGGTTGCTTCATTGGTTGCCTGCAGAAGGGATGGAGGCTGCTAGATGGACCTCTATTGGACAGGGTGGGAGCCACTTCACTGGCCACTGATGAAAGGGCTGCTTCACTGACTACCAACAGAGGAGGTTGCTTCATTGCTCACCACCAGAAAGGTTGGGGGTTGCTTTATGGGCCTCCATTGAACAGCGTGGGAGCCACTTAATTGGCTATTGATAGAATGGCTGCTTCACTGATCACCAGCAGAAGGAGTGGGGGCCGCTATACTGAAAACTGACGGAAGGGCTGCTTCACTGAACACTGACAAAAGAGGTTGCTTCATTGTTTTACAGCAGGAGAGATGGGAGATGCTTCATGGGCCTCCATTGGACAGGGTGGAAGCCACTCCAAAGGCTACTGACCGACAAGAATAGAGGAAGTGAAGGGAAATCACTCTAATGAAACAAAGATGGCAAAAAAAACTTACTCTGTCCAAAATGAAAAAAAAAAAAAAACTTGAGATTTTGATATACTTTAACCTTTCCCCACTCTATCCAAAATTGTAATATAAAGATTTGGGCTTTAGATATCAATTAACATGTATACATTATTTAAAAAACATAGAGTCTTAATTATTTGTTCACAGGATGTCCTGCCCGGATTTCATGCAGAACTTCAGGCAAGTGAACATCTGTAACCTCACCCCGACCTACTTAGATTTCGAGAGCCCCCAGCGCGTCTGGGAGTCCACCAGTTACTACAATCAGTGGGTGAGGGGAAGCACCGCGGGAGGCTGCAACACGGCAGGTAGGTCTTCAAAGTCTAACTTGACCAGCTTGTCTGCTGGTTAAGTCTTTACCCGTCAAACTCAAGAAAACTCAAAGAAGAAACTCTCACTTTTGCTGGCTATGCTCATCTCCCCTCTTTTCCTTTATGTGTGTGATATTTTTGGTTTATTTGGGGTAGTTTCATGTATTCACTATATTATTTGTATTTATAGGGGGGGGGGGGTATTTGTTTTTTTTTTGTGTGTTTAAACTTGAAACTTTTATTTAAATGTGTCTCTTTTCTTTCTGAAAATAAAAAATAAAAAAATGTGGGGCATGAGGCCTACAGGTTTAGATTTTTATGAAAAAAACCTTGTAATCTTTCAGAAGACATGTGGAAGAATCCGCAGTATGTGATCACAGTTCCAGAGACACAGAGGAAAGGATACAATGTCACTGTGGCTCTTATGCAGAGTCTTAGCAACGAGAGGAAGTACAACCCTCACTGGTTACCCATCGGATTCGCCTTTTGCAAGGTTTGGCAAACCAGTACGGTCTATCTATCTATCTATCTATCTATCTATCTATCTATCTATCTATCAAATATTTATCTTTCTAGTGATATAAAATCTAATACCAGTTTGTGTCTCTCTTGTGCAGGTTACCCCCAAGGTAAGAAATCGTTTTTTTATCACCTAGATGTTAAAAAAGTAGATCATATTGTGTTTTTTTCCCCCACTGTAGATATATGAAATGCCCTAAATCAAAGCACATTTGTGTATTTGAAAGTAAACACTCTCAATAACATCCCCAGAAAAGAGAACATAGATGCTTATCACAGTGAAATAGAGTGAATCCAGATCAAAAACCACGTGTGAAATCAAATCTAATTAATATAATGTAAGATAGTCCCATATGAAATGTCCTGTTATTGTGAATCGTTCCACTCCAAAAGGTAAGTTTGCTTTTGAACTTCCACAAAGATAATATCCTCCAAGGGAAAAAAAAAAACTCCTAACCCTTATGGGCAGACACTCACCAAACGATATGCAACCTCTTAAAGTGACATTAAAGTCAAAAAAATGTTTCCCTCCCCCCCAGCACTTACCTTAAATGATGTCTCTTATTCCGATCTTCTTCTTCTTTCCTGATGTTTTCATGTGTCCCTCCAGCGGTGCGGCGGCTCTCCGATCCAGCGTTGACTGCTCTGTCCCTCCAATCCAGCGGTGTCTGCATGCGGGTGCATGTGTCCATAGACTTACCTTGCATCTCTGCTCGTCTCCCGGCCGAGAATCGGAACTGCGCATGTGCCCGCCCCAAGATCCTTTGCGGCCGTACGAGCAGTTCCTGATTCTCGGCGCGGGAGCGTGCAGCGATAACGAGGTAAGTTTAAACCTAGTTAAAGCGGTTTTTTTAAACTTCTTGCCTATATCTACTGCTTGCTAGCAGATATAGGCAAAATAACAGAGGGTTTAGAACCCCTTTAAATAAGAAGGTCTTATGCACTGACTCAGGGACCCAAGCGAAGACAACTGTCAGGGACCATAGCACCTCCAGGTGGCGCTGGAACCAGGTCCTGCAGTTCCTGCGCTCACCTGCAGGTGTTTCTAAGCAGCCAGGAGCTGCCAGGTACCAGACCACCACTGGGTGGTGCTGGAACCTGCAAGTCCAGTGCTCACCTGCGGGTGTCTCCCAGCTGTCAGCGATTATTCACCGCCTGGTGCTACCTGGGAGGGTATTTATTCCCTCCCCGCACTGTGGAATTTGGCTCAGTATTGTCGCCATTTCCTGTATCCCGAGTCTTGTATGCCGAGTCTTGTATGCCGGTGCCGCCTAGTACCCTGACCTTTGCCCCGTGGCTCCCCTTGTGTTGCCTTGCTCCCCTGATTTCTCTTGCCCTGTTGTCTGTGTTTGTATTTAGTTAGCTGTTATTAGTTGTGTGTGTTTATAAGATTTTGGTGTGTATAATAAACGGTATATAAGCTCATTGGCATTGTCTGGTGTGGTCACGCATTTGGTCCTCCCATGGGGGTACCTGCCTGCGGTTTGTGGACACCTGCGCAGAGTACCCTGACAACAACTCTCCAGATCTCCTCGTCAACACCAGTCCTCCTCTTACATATTACTCCACAAAAGACAAGGGGCACTTCCCCTTCCACTCTCCTGGCAGACATTGGACTTTTTATCACTCGGTTACATGCACGTTAGCAGCAAGCATGCAGGCAATCCTGGCTTTCCATATTACAAGGACCAGCTTGCTTTGCAAACTGAGTATCATGGAAACTGTATTATTCTAATTGTGTTGATTATAATAAAACAAATATTAAAGATTGTTTTATAAAGTTCTTGCAGCATTGACTCAAACCAGAGCAGTAGCTAGCTCCCTTTGCGCCCGAGGCAAGAACAGAAAATTGTGCCCCCCTACAGATGTGCGATGTCACCCGACGGATGGTGCGCTGGTGGCCACATCCAAAATAGCATAAAAATGTGTTTCGTTTGACGAAACAAATGAAAACATTTTAAGTTTCTGTTAATTTTGTCTTTGCACATGTATAATAATATGTGTGCATGAGTGTGTGTGTGGGGGGGGGGGCTTTATTTATTTTTTAGCGCTGTCACTTCAGGATGGTCGAGCAGTGAGGAGAGAAAGATCCGCCCGCTGTCAGATCCTGGCCGAGCGGCTCTCTCTCTCCTCACGGCAAGGCCATCCTGAGTGACAGCTCCCACCTCCACCACCCCACTGGCTGCAGCGCTCCATTTCTCATCAGGTCCCCGCTGCCTCTGTCCATACAGGCGGGGGAGAGCAGCGGGGATCCGAGAAGCTGGAGCCTGTGCCGCCCCTCTTCTCCCTGCCAAACCACGGCTGTGTTGGAGCCTGTGCTCGCAATGGCAACAGGGGCAAGGGGGCGCAGCCAGGCCGGCCCTGGCTGCGCCCCCTCTCAGCTGTGCCTGAGGCAAGTGCCTCACTCGCCCCATGGTAGCTACAGCCCTTACTCAAACCATTACTCTTTGATTTCATACAAGTTCTTGTGCCTCTTTTTGGACTTGCAGGGAACAAAGAACGGGTCGCAAACAAAATTTTCCCGCCAACAAGCCACAGAAATAATAAACACCAATCTGGAACGAGGACGAGAAGTCACCAAGTCGTTCGTGGCTCCACCCGGAACATACGTCATCTTACCCTTCACAGAGAACAAGGGGCAGGAGTCGGAGTTTCTCCTCAGGATCTTCATGAAGACGTCTCAGATTGCTGAGTACGTATATTGATTCACTGGCCTATCTCAAGAGGCAGGTTTCCACACATGAAACAGCCACAAGATGGGTGCAGTCAGAATTCTTTCTTGCTAAATAGTGGTTGTTTATACTGCTGACAAGAAGCTAAGGCAATTACAATTTAATCCAGTTGTGGGTTCCTTCAGAAATCTTTAACACATTTTTAAATGCAGATAGTATAAGAACATGATTTGCAGGGGAGATCTTCCTCTGACCGGAAGTTCCGGTATCGTGGAAGGTATCGGAGCATTTGGGCGAGTATGAGTACTCGGTATCAGCAGCCATACTGACACTGGTATCGATATCGGTGCATCCCTACTCGCAACAAAATGCTCAGGTGTGAATAGGGGCCATAGGAATAAATGGGATTTCTCTTTTTGTGTGCTTTTTCAGGCATAGTTTTGCACACCTAGGTGGAAATGGGGTGGCTAGAACTAGTTCACAATTAACTGGGCTGGCTAGAACTAGTTCACGAGGAAGCTCTTCCATGTTTGTACTGCTCTTACAGTGAAGAAGCCTTTCCATATGCAGAGTATATATAAACCTCTTTTCCTCCAGTCTTCTTATATCTCCTCTGCAGTCATATTGCTAGCTATCGTGTAACATTGAGAAGTTGTTAAATATCGCTTTTGCCTTTAGAAATCAAGGACCTCAAACCGTGCAACGGGAGGATAACCAAGAGCAATACCCTGTTAATTCCACAACACAGTGAGTACTGCCGCTATACTCTGCCATTACTCCTGTAGTACAGCACGCCTTCTTCAAACACAAAGTATTCATTTGTCGTCAGATTAAATGACCCAAAACCAAGGAGTGTATTGTTTCTGTCTGGATAATGGAGGAGACACGGAAATCATTCCTGTATAGCACAGGGGGCCACATCTCTGGGTCATAGCACAGACACAGCCTAAGAATACAGAGCCATTTATTCCCAATTGCATACAAATCTTTCAGGCTTATTAGAGGTCATCAGTATAGGATGGCTTCTATGGTGTAGAGATTGGGGGGGAAAAATTTGGGGATGGAAAATGATAACGGGTAAATACTTTCGGGTTACAAAAGTCTTTGTTGTTGTACTTTGCAGAACTGGTACAGGAGGAGCATCCAAGGCCGGATTTACTCTCTCTGCTGCCCCAAGGCCAGGTTCCTCAATGCGCCCCCCATGTAGAAAACAACTACCCGCCCAGCACCAACTGCATGTCCGGGCGTCAGAAGATAGGGATACCACACCCCTGCCGCACCTCTGCTCACCTCGATGGCCTTGTGAGAAATCCGGCCCGGGTAGCATCACATGTGGACTTTACCAAGGGTACAGTATCTCACAGAAGTGAGTACACCCCTCACTTTTTTATAAATATTTTATTACAGGCAGTCCCTGGATTACGGACGTCCGACTTACGCACTACCCGTACTTACGAACCGAGGTCCACAGTTCTCCTAAGTGTACCAGCAGCTGCCGGTACATTTAGGAGAACTGTGGCTGCAGCAGCCTATGTCCCTTCAAATCCCCGCTGCTCTCCCCGCTGTGTTGGCGGAGGTGGCGGGGACACAGACCGCTGCATTCCTCCGCTGCTGTACCGGCTGGTTGCTCCTCATCTTCCGGTCCGTCCGCACATCCTCTTCTGCCGGTCCGTCCACTCCTCTTCTGCCGGTCCGTCCGCTCCTCTTCTCCTGGTTCGTCCGCTCCCACCAGCCCATGTGGCATTCATCTTCCGACCACGTACGATTTTTCGGCAGGTTTTCAAGTGTGCTCGTAAGATGAAAGTCGTACGACCTTACAGTAGAAGCATTGCATGCTAACCATACACCTGCCGATTATCGTACGGTGTACACCTTACAACCATCGCACGACTTTCATTGTGCGATGGTTGTAAGGTCATTAAAATTTCTCACCCAATTTCGTCCCATCTTGGACAGGCAGATCGTACTTGCGATCATCGCAAGCCCTCCCCGCTTAAGGGAGGGATTGCAGATGATTGCAATGCTGAGCGGGCAGTGTGCGCTTGCGATTTTTGGCAGGTTTTCCAAAAAAAGTTGTGCGACCGTACAGTAGATGCGGTCGCATGCTGCTCATACACCTGCCGATTATCGTACGATCGCAGGATCACCCGCGATTATCGTACAGGTATATGGGCACCTTGAGAATGCTATCTGAGTCCCAGGCCAGAGCAACATCATGCTTCAGCCTTCCCCTTTATCTCACCTGGATAATCAATCATTAAGCAAATAACAATCCAGGTGAGAGACACAAAACCCGAGCTGGATTATTCAGACCCAAAGTCGACTTGAAAACCTGGCCTGGGTTCCGCTAGTCCTGTACATAGGATAGAAAGCGAGGGGAAATATATCACCCCTCGATTACTTCTCCTTTCCTTATGTCACAATATATATACCAATTGCAAGACCTGACACATTTTGAGGCGTTATATTACAAAGTTGAGCCAAAAAAACTGACTGCGAGTTGAGTTGATGAGTTGCTGCCACAAGCATTTCACTAAGTATATAACTTTCATGTATGACAGTTTTCTAATGTCTCCTCTCCATTCATGTCAGCACTGCCACCAATGTCTTCACAGAAAGGTAAATGTGTCCTATGTTTAAAACCTAACAAATATCACTTCTGACTTTAGATATCAAGGCCCTCAAACTGCGTCACAGGAGGAAAGCCAAGCGCTATATCCCAACAATTCCTCAACTCCGTAAGTGTACAGCTGCCATGCTCTGCCAGTTCTGTAATGACAGGTTTGGTTTCATTTATTTTGGTTTCAACTGAACTATATATATATTTCTTGTAGGGCTGCAACTAACGATTATTTTACATTATTGATTAGTTGGCCGATTCTTTTTTCGATCAGAGAAAAAAAAAAAATGAAATGTCATCTTTTATTTCAAATAAAATACACAAATGGAATGTTACCAACATAAAGTTTGCTTCACGTTAAAACTGCATGCACAATTTTTTGCAATCGGATTGCGGTACTGCACGTTCCAGTGTGGGCGATCGCACTGCAGGCAGGAGGTGCAATAGACATGATAATTGGTTTAATGGATTTAAAATAATCTGAACTAAAAAAACTCCAAGCTAAATAAAAGCCCAGTCATCAGTTAAGAGCTAGTCATGAATATTGGCCAAAAAATTATTGCTCTCACTCAGTCGTATACAGCGAAAACTGACATGTGTAGCGCAATCATTATTTTCGTATATAAGTGCACCCAACTTGTGTTTCCATTAGTATGCACTCTTTCATGGGGGCGGGGAACTTTATTTTTTGTATTTTGAATTTTATTTTATTTAACTTTGTTTTTTTTTTATTTACTTCTTTTACCAAGCGGCAAGCCCCTTGTGTGATAGCACATTGGAGATGACAGGTTCTCTTTAAGGTGACATTAGGGGTCTGTGTGTCACCTTTCCACTTCATTGCTGTAGCTGGGGAATGACAGCTGCCTGCTGAGGGAGCTGAATGAAAAAACACAGCAGGCAGTTGCAGTGGTTGGGGGCAATAGCCAGCCTGCTATTGGCTATTTCAAATTGCAATCGGCAATAGCAGGCTGGCTATTGCACCCGCCCACTGACTTCTGTCAATCAGCAGAGGAGGGACCTGAAGGAGAAAGTTCCCCCCGATCCCTGCTGCCTCTGGTGGGGGACAGCAGTGGGGATCGGAGGGGACATAGACTGCAGCGGGCTTTCAGCGGGTAGCGGAGTGACTGAGCAGAGTCGATGCAGCAATGGCGGTGACGGCGGCAGCCGGGGAAGGGAGGGGGGGGCGGAGCGATGAGATGGTCGGTGAGTTTTGGAACTCTCCTTACTGCTGGGCAACAGCTGCAGGGGTATAATTCTTAATGCCAAGATTTGTGTTTTTGCTTTGTAGATACCAGAGCGTGAAAGTAACGCAAAGAGTTGTGGATGATGCTCTCTATGACAACAACGCATTGGCAAGGTAGGTCGATGTTTGATGAATCAAAAAGTTAAATCTGAACTCCGGACGCAAAAACTTTCATCTAATTATATTCATATATACATATATACATCCACTATGTGATGATAGCGGCCCAAGCAATTTTGTGCTACAGTATTCCCCTTCACTTCTCCCCCAGCAGCTGCATAAAAGGTTATGAAGGGAGGGGAGGAGGGGCAGAGGAGCTGGTCCTGCACGGAGGTTACTTGGCCACACCCAGAAGATGTGCAAGGAGCTAAGAATTAAAGGAGAACTATGGGCTAATTGCTTTTCCCCATAGTTCTCCTCAGGGTCATGGGAGGACATAAACTAGTGTCCTACCGTGACCCAACGTATCCCGACATTACTGTCGAGATCCACCCAGCTGCATGATTGACAGCTGCCTATCTAGAGGCAGAGCAAGCTGTACCGCCCCCTCCCCCGTCTGTTCCGCCAGTCAGCGATGGAGGATCGGAGATGAGAGGGGAGAATACCTACAGGGAGCCGTGAGTGACAGTCACAGCTCTCTGCAGGGAGATGATCGAGAAGTGTGCGAGCGCCGGTATGTGTTCGCTCACTTCCCAATCTACTGAGCCGACCTGTGACAGTTTCATTGTCACACGTCAGCTCGAACTATGAGGTGAGTGAAAATCACTCACCTCATAGTTGTCCTTTAACTCTTCCTGCAGTAGTCAAATTTTCTAGCACATTGCCAATCAATAAAAGACACTGCATGTAAGCATTTAAAATAACCTGATTTTTCTGTCCTTTTACCTGCAATTTTTTTAAGTCAGCGGCGGGGTCCCTTTAAAGTAGAAATACAGTTTTTGGCCATTTTTTTTTCTAAATCTCAGCGATCCCCTGCACATCATTGCCCTGAAGCGTCTTCCCGATGGTGACGACAGTGGACCATGCCTGTGTATAGTTCATTGCCATGTCCGCTTCTGGTCTCCACCAGGGGGCGCATGGGACAGGGTGGCAGCACAGGAGCACAACTGGGAGAAAGTTGTCAACCCATAACAGGAAGTGCCTGAAACCAGGACTATCGTGGCAGGATCACCTGCGGATTACATTACTGATAAGCAGATCATAGACAACTTTTGAGATTATAGTGGCTGGGTTTACATCTGCTCTGATGTGGATATTGACGGACTCAACGGCAACTTGTAAGTTTTTCTTATGTGTAAACTGCTGCATGCCCCGGCATTAAAGAATCCTTTTACATAGACGGCAGTAATGAATACAATAAGTCAGTGATAACATCACACATTACAAGTCACCGTCATCTCCTCTCTCTCTCTGTGATATTTTGCAGTGACTTTGAATCCAGTCTTTGGGTAAATCGCCAGACTGCTACGGTAAATGTCCGCTTGTCTTCTTAATTGCTTTTATCAATATCTGTTACATGTTACAATGTCTGGGTAACAATTCCCTCCTCGGCATACATTTTTCTTGTACAGATCTTCCAAGGCTCCACTCTGGTTACGGCACGTCACCGACACTATGATATACGGCCTTGTAAAAGCAGGGAGCCTTGTCAATTTATAATTAATCGTGAGTTACGGGTCTGCCCTGTTCTGTTGTATGGCCCAACGGTCTCTCTTAAAGTGGATCTTTACAGGTCTGGCGTGTCACAATATACAGAGTACAGCAATAATGTAGGATTTCAGCTCCACCTTCTATCATTGGTGAGCCGTGCTTGAGCTCCAGTCCAATTACTTTGCCTAGGCTGAGATGATGTCATCAGTCTGAACCAATAATCAGTCTCCTCTCCCCCCCAGTGATCAGTCTGCTGCAGGCAGGAGGAATCATTTCCTCAGTCTCCTCTCTCCCCAGTGATCAGTGTGCTGCAGGCAGGAGGAATCATTTCCTCGGTCTCCTCTCCTCCAGACTGCAACTTTGTAGCAAGTCCCAAGTTGAGAGGCTGCAGCCGGGGCTGATCTATGTGGGACATGTTGTGAACACAGCCAAGATATGCAAAGGCAGAAGGATTTACAGGACTGTGTCATCTCTGAGATGGCAGTTCAGTACTAAACGAGTCAAAGAGCTGGAACAACTATGCAGGATAGTAGAGCAGCCTTTTCAATGGCTACATATGTGCTCGGTTCAATGACTTACTGATTAAGCACTCATCTGTGAAATGCGTCCGAGACTGCTATTGATGCGAATCACCAATAAACCTTCCAGTGCTTGGAAGTGTTGCAGGGACTCATTTTGGAGACACGACGCTTCAAATTTGGAAGCAAGTTGGCAAAAACAGCTCTTGTATTTCAATCCTCACAGGCTCACTTTAAAGTTTCTATAGCCGATACTGAAGTTTTGGATGGAGTAGTGAACAGGCTGGAGCCTGTCAGGTTTTCATTTAGGTGTCCCCCAGGGGTGATCTCCCTTTTACTTCTTGACCTGTAGACATAACAGTGAGTGAGTGGAGAACTCTCCAAAGTGAAAGGAAGTCCCCTCTTAGACACCAGGACAGGAACCCCTATTGATAGATTTACCTTCCATTTCTGTTCTGGTGACAACTAGATTTCCTCCACCCCCAGTCCTGTTGGAGGGTAACTTCCTTCCCCATTGGGGTGTTGGTTTGAAGTCACTGGGTCACTAAGGTTATAATATGTGAGTACAGCTGCAGTTTACAACACGGAGATATATGTGGCCAACATTGATCATGATAATGTATTGATGTTCCTCTGAAGGAGTGAACATTGATCCAGGAAACGTGTTGGGAACTTGGAACATCTGTACAGTGTCATAAATGTCTTATTGTCCCTACTGGACATCATTGATATGCATATGATGGGGAAAGACCTGTACTAAAGAAATGTATATGTACCATGGTGCAATGTAGAACATCTTATTAAGAATTGAACTGTTAATGTTGTATGTTGATCTTCTAAATCTGTAATATAATATTACAGAGAGACATTTTTCTATGATATATATTGTATGTGTGTGTGTATCTCTCTCTTTCTCTCTCTCTCTCTCTCTCTCTCTCTATATATATAAGTTCACCTTTTGCTAAAATTAAAGAAATGCATATTTAATAATATATAAAAATGCGCTTTGTTAAAATTTGTGCATTCAAGCCTGGAAAGCATTACCGCCGTGATCACGTCTGCAAAGCTCAGGCTTCTGCAGTTTCGCCCCAAACTGAACCTTTGTACTGAGAGTTTCGGAGTTTCAGTTTATATTGCTCCATCACCTGACCTCGCTGACCAACGAGAAGCACGTCTCAGCGCTTCTCTTTTTTTTCCTTCTCTTTCCTTGCAGGAATCTTATTTAGGAAATATCGTGTTGCTACTTTGTCATGTATTTGTGCGTATCTGTTTGAAAGACTTTGTAGCGCCGCGGGTGAATAGTGATGTATGTTCACTGTCCTCCTCACATTCCCATATTGCCTGTCTAGCGGTTTTTCTCTCTCTAGTGCTGTCTGGAATCTGATTCACACAGAGATTCACTGAGCTCAGTGGGATATCGGGTAATTATAACAGGTCAAACCGGCTTCTGCAATTTTCCCCATGACATTAATTAAATAAGTTAATTACATCCGCTATAATTATTCATTAGTGGTGATGGCGGATGAATGGAGCCTGTGACCTTGGAGAGGTCATTGCTGTACATTTCGGTGACAGAGACTTCAGGGCCTCCTCAGAGTCACATGATGAAGTGTGTTACTGTCCATGATGCCGTGCCGAGGTCGAAGGCACAAGAAAGTTTAACTTTTGCTTTTGTGTTTGACAACAAGAAGCAGTCTCTGGTTGTCATCCTCTAGTCTGGCAATGGTTGGGTTGAGCTCTTCTGTCTACTGAGTATGTACAGCTGATTGAGGAAATACTTTATGTTAGGTGAGGGTAGCTTAGGTTTTATTCAATACCATAAGGCTTCCTCCCAGTGAATGCAAAAATTGGAACAGTGCTCACCTGGGGAGATAGACCCCAAGAACTAGGTCTCAAAGCGCGTTTCCCTTCTTAATAGGGGAGGGTAGCCTGTATGAATGAAGACCATATAACCTCCTCAGCTCTCAAATAACATCATCATTTCAAAGGAAGACTAAATATTAAGAGGAGTTTCGTCCAAAAAATGCAATTTATTAAATAAAAGCAGGTACTCACAATGTCACAGATGACAAAAGGCATAAAACAAATATCCAATGGACACCACAGTACAAATCTATGGGTGCAATGGGACTCTCAGCTGAGAAGAGTGACGTTGAATGCTCAGCCCTACGTTACGTCTACGCGCGACTTCGTCATGCTCTCTATTTGTCCATCAAGGCCTTTACAATGGGGGCTGAAAGTTTTTAAAAATTCAGAATGTTCAGTTGTCACCAGAACAGGAATAGAGAGAAAAAATTAAAATCCCCCCCCCCCAAAAAAAAAAACAACCCCCCCCCCCAAAAAAAAAAACACAACTTCCTGTTGTATCTAGGGAATGAAGGAGGGGGAAATGGGTAACAACATCCATTGGTAGTTACAACACATAGAAAATGGGCCTTTAAGGGACTTTTACAGTACCTTGAATAAATTACATCAGATAGTGTATCTCTTTAAAACATACATCTTATATTATGATTCCATAAAATACTTTAAAACCTTAGTTCTCAGCTGGTGGGTGGTGACCCAAAAGTGGGTCGGCGGACTCCCATTGGCGGGTTGCCGTCTCCAGACGGCATTTTTTCCCTGCTCGCTAGGAATGAGAACAATCATTATAGGGCCATCAATCACTGATAACACTAAACTGATGAGCGGTAAAAGCTTTTAAAGCGTCGCCCATGGCCAATTTTGAGTATTGTCGTTTTTTAAGGTTTCGCGCGTGCGAATTTTAAGGCATGTATGGTGTCTTTTTACCCGACGTGACCCGTATTTTATATTTTACCAAAAAAAATTGGGTTATAATAAATGTTTTATAATTTAATATAAGGGAAACAGTTTATTTTTTTACATTTTGGGTAATTTTTCCTTAATATAGTAAAAAATAAAAAAAACCCCAGTGGTGAATAAATACCACCAAAAGAAAGCTCTATCTGTCCCTAAAAAATGGTATAAAATTTATTTCAGTACAGCGCTGCATGACGGAATAAATGTCAGCCAAAGTACCGCAGCGCTGAATACTGAAAAATGGCCTGGCCAGGGAAGGGGGTGTAACACCGCGGACTTCAAGTGGTTAATCAGCATTTGAAATAACTTAGAAACCTCCTGACTTTAATATCACATGTAATAAACTTCAGGCCTGGACTGTATTCCACCTTCCATTCTCCTTATTATCCATCGCAGGTGAAAGCATCCAATGTATCAGTTCTCAAACATAGAAGCGTTAAAGGGAAAATTGTGTTGTGTGAATCCTGACATCAGTTATGACACTTCCTGTCACCCGTCACTTTATCATTTTATTTTTTTTCAGGCTGTTTTAAAAAAATACAAAGATGAGAGCTACGAGAGTGTTTTCTCCCGCTACGCCAACCAGGTGCGTATATTCTTAGAGGCGCGCACTGAGTGCTCATCAATGCTCATCATTTGTGTCCTCACATTCTTTGTTCTATAAGTCATTTTTCTGTATTATTTTATTCCTCGCCGAGCGCCAAAGTTTTCATTTAGAAATGCAAAAAAAAATCTGGAGGTCTTATTTCAGCTGTCAGCAGGCTTCTGATAGCCGGGAAATGTACATTAAAGTATATGTTAGGGCAAAGGAGAAAAAAAAACATGTTCAGTACATTTCTGCAACACATGAACATCCCCCTGTGAGAGTACAGAACAATTATAATGACTTGCCAGAATTCGCACATGTAGAGGCTCAAAAATATGTTTAGTTTCTGATCAATTCAAATGTTTTGGGGGGTTTTCTGGATTTCGGATCCCAAATTGGATTTGCTTCATTATTCAGAATTCAAAATTACTCAAATTGTTCATTTTTTGGTTGCATTCACCTCAATTTTCATTTTTTCCGGTGTAAATTGATCCAAATTTTTTTGTTTTCGGTTTGTATTGGGTTTTTTAAATTTAAAATGTACTTAATTAATTATTGGGGGGATTTCGCCAGTGCTCTTAGTCCATACTAGTCCTCTTAGTCTTTACTGGTCCTCTTAGTCCGTACCGGTCCTCTTAGTCCATACCAGTCCTCTCAGTCCATATTGGTCCTCTCAGTCCATACTGGTCATCTTAGTCCGTACTAGTCCTCTTAGAACATACAGGTCATCTTAGTCCATACTGGTCATCTTAGTCCGTGCCAGTCCTCTCAGTTCATATTGGTCCTCTCAGTCCATACTGGTCATCTTAGTCCGTACTAGTCCTCTTAGAACATACAGGTCATCTTAGTCCATACCTAGTCATCTTAGTCCGTGCCAGTCCTCTCAGTCCATATTGGTCCTCTCAGTCCATACTGGTCATCTTAGTCCGTACTAGTCCTCTTAGAACATACAGGTCATCTTAGTCCATACTGGTCATCTTAGTCCGTGCTAGTTGTCTTTGTCTGTACTAGTCATGTTAGTCCTTACTGGTCATTTTAGTTCATACTGGTCATCTTAATCGATACTAGTCCTCTTAGTCCCTTCTGGTCCTCTTCATCTGTACTGATCATTTTAGTCAGCACTGGTCATCTTGGTCTGTACTGGTCATTAGAAATTTGGAAATTCGGGGAAAAAAATGTGGATTTGTTTGAAATCGAATGCATCTGAAATTTGGATAAATTTGAATTCAGAAATGCAGATGCTTCCGAATGTCCAAATTGAAAGAAATTCACCCAAATTTAAATTCAAAACAAAACTGGCATGTCTACCAGAAATCCAGCGTGCTGTTGTGTGAGCTTGCAACACCAGTGCCTCTGCTGCACAGAAATCAGCCCTGCCTGACTATAGACTACACATTGACTTAAGGTTATGGAGATGAGAAGAGGGAAGGTGTTCTGTAGTCCAGCAGGGGAGAACTGTGAAAGGCTGACAATGCTGCTTGGGATGACAGATCAACATTTTTCATTATGCTCCTACAGCATTTGTAAATGAATAATGAATACACGGTATCATCTGGCTGCTTCCTAAACAGACCCTTAGAAGCAGTGGCGTATGTAAGTACTGGCACCTAGGGCACTACGGTCTAAGTGATTGCCACCGGAGCCTATAACTTCTATTCATATAGTTATTTCCAGTATAATATGAAGTGAGCGTCATTAAATCTTATATCTTTCAGAGCTCCGAAATGTATGCAGAACAGCTACAGAAGCTACTAAATGACGTGGTGATTACAGGTAAGCATAAAAAATAGGCTGGCCATTAAGTAATAGCTGTACAGCAAGGGTGGACAACCTCGACACTCCAGCTGTTGTGGAACTACAAGTCCCCGGAGGAATTGCAAGAGTCTGACAGCCACCGGAATGACTTCCAAAGGATGAAGCATGATGGGATTTGAAGTGTAGATGTAGGCAACCTTGCCCGGAGTGCCAAGGCTGTCTACCCCTGCTGTACAGAGTAGGTGATGCTGGACAGAGCCAGCCAGGGTCAGTTGCACAGATGCAGATAACAGTGTATGTAATTCCATCTCTTTCCCTTTGGAAAGCTTTATTTGGTTGCCAGCAAATATCACAAAGCAGGGGTTCTAAACCCTCCGTTTTTTTTTTTGCTTATATCTACTGCTAGCGAGCAGTAGATATAGGCAAGAAGTGTAAAAAAAAACCGCTTGAAATCATTTTAAACTTACCTCGTTATCGCTGCTCGTTCCCGCGCCGAGAATCAGGAACTGCTCGTACGGCCGCAAAGGATCTTGGGGCGGGCGCATGCGCAGTTCCGATTCTCGGCCGGGAGATGAGCAGAGACGCAAGGTAAGTCTATGGACGCGTGCACCCGCATGCAGACACCGCTGGATCGGAGGGACAGAGCAGTCAGCGCTGGATCGGAGTAACGCCGCACCGCTGGAGGGACACATGAAAACATCAGGAAAGAAGATCGCAATAAGAGACATCATTTAAGGTAAGTGCTAACATTTACATGGGGGAAGGGGGAAAACTTTTTGCCTTTAATATCACTTTAAATCTTACACGTTAGTGTTACTGTTTATCCGAAATTCTCTTTTTAATCCAAAGCTTGTGGGACGTGTTAGTACAATCCTCCAAATGAATATTTTGCCAATGTCTGATATTAATCATGTCGTAATTACTTTTATTACCTGCTTTGCAGACCCGACCTTCAACGCCAACCGCGCAGCGTTTAGCTTGGATTCCTGCCGAGGGATTTTGATGCTGATGGACGTATCTTTCTGCATAGCCGTCATCTGAGCGGTTGTTATATCATAAAGCGAGCACATTGTGTACAATCTGAACAGTGCTCGATTATTGTATCGATATCATTGGCACAATGTTATTTACATGTTCAGTGAGTGGATGAAAGGGAGATCCTAGTTGGTTGCTACAGGCGAGTGATCCCATGGGCCAGACAGGATCTGAGTTGTTCCGGCTTTCGGTAGTATCACATTTAAGCTGTTGAAAATGGGTCCACATCCTGGTAGATTTAAAAGGTTATTAAACCCTTGCATGTTTTTGCATATATCTATCTATGGCTAGCAAGCAGTAGATATATGCAAAACGATTTTTTTTAAAAAATACTTTTTCAAAGGGTTCATACTTACCTGTGTCTCCGCCGCGCGCTCCCGTCCGAACATCTGAAAATTTCTGGGGCGGCCGCAAAGGATCAGATGAGGGAGATGAGGGGAGACACGAGGTAAGTCTATGGAGCAGCGTGCACCCGCACAGACTCCGTGGGACATCAGAGGAGAGGGGGACAGAGGAGTCAGCGCTGGATCGGAGACTCGCACCAGCGCTGCAGGGACAGCTGAAAAAGACAGGAAAGAAGAAGATGATCGGATTAAGATACATCATTTAAATCATCTCTGAATTGGTGCTGACACTGTCCTTCCTTCTGGAGGGTGGCTACATTTGTTCACCATGGTCCTTGTGTGTATTGTAAAGTAGTCTCCGCTCCAAGCTCACTCCTGTGATGGACTACAATCTCACGTTTAGTTTATTAATTTGTATTGAGATTGTAGTCCATCCTGAGAGCAAGCTTGGAGTGGTGGCTAAAGCTGAACTAGTTTTCTAGAGGGACAACAGAGTAGACAATATTTCCTCACTCCAGGTTGTCCAACCCGGAAAAGTTCCCGGCCGCAGGTTCTCTTCCTAATTGAATTGTGGCAAGCCTCATCCAACCTACTTCCTGTGAGCTCAGAATGTCATGAATCTGCCCTTGGTGATGCATCATCATGCCGGCCTGCCTCATGGTGCAACAGCAATCACACATTACCACCAGTGATCTGCCAGTAACACACTTCCTGTCCTAGGGTGACAACGCTCACCAAATGTACTGTAGCTATAAAGAAGCAGGGTGTGCTTTTAGGACAGGAAGTGTGTTGGTGACTACAGAAAACCTCCTCTTACCCTCTGCTTCATAACATATGGGAGAGGTGTTATGTAGTTCACAAACAGAACTGGAGAATATGAAACCTATAACAGTCTACAGATGCATAGAACAATTTCTTAACCTTTTTTTTAGTCACAACACCCTTTAAAGCGATGCAAAATCTCAAGACACGCCAGTCTAAAATGTCATAGATTTCAAGGGGGACTCCATGCAAAAAGACCCAAAAAGTGGGTTTCCCCCTTCACATCAAAGTGCCCCCTTTAAATCTATATCCCCTCCCCGTTAACATCAGTCATCCTTGGCATCAGTAGCCCCCTTCACATCAATAGCCCCCCTTTCACATCAGAAGCTTCACTTAAATATCAGAGCCCCACCCCATTCTCATCAGAGCTCCCCTTTTACATCAGGAGTCCCCTTCACATCAGTCTTCATTCTCCCTTCACATTGCAAACCCACTACCACAAAAGTTTGAGGCACCCCTGAGGAGGCCAGGAGGCACACCAGTGTGCCACGGCACCCTGGTTGAGCAAGGCTGGCATAGAGCACAGGAAGTTATCAGCCTACTGTATTTCTGGCAGGTTCAACAGAATTTAGAGCAAGGCACACGCATCATGCATAAAGGGGTGATTTATTGGTAAAAACACTTACAGGTCAGTAACCATGTGTCAGCTCATCAAAGGAAACCAGGAATTACAACAGCAGCTGGATCCCAAAGAACTATGGCCAGTCTCAGGGCTGATCCGCTGGATCCCAAAGAGCCATGGACAGTCTCAGGGCTGATCAGCTGGATCCCAAAGAACCATGGCCAGTCTCAGAGCTGATCAGCTGGATCCCAAAGAACTATGGCCAGTCTCAGGGCTGATCAGCTGGATCCCATAGAACCATGGCAAGTCTCAGGGCTGATCAGCTGGAGCCCAAAGAACCATGGCCAGTCTCAGGGCTGATCAGCTGGATCCCATAGAACCATGGCCAGTCTCAGGGCTGATCAGCTGGATCCCAAAGAACCATGGCCAGTCTCAGGGCTGTAATATGGAAGACTCAACCGCCAGTAACACCCGCAGTGAGAGACCCATTTTAGAGATGGAAACAGCTTGGCGTCCTGAGTTGCCTGGATGGCCTTTTACTTTTGAAAGTGTTGCTCTGGTGATGCATTTCAGGGCTCCATTTCTATCTTAAGCTTCTTTGTACCACTGTGCAAAGCGTTGTGGCATAACAGTAGGGGAAGGCAAGATATCTGACAACACTGTTCAGCAACCACTGCACTCCCTGGGGGTATACTGTATAATAAGCATTTCAAACTTTTGGTAATGATTCTTTAACAAACTGTACAGCTAAATGCAAATGGGAAACTTAGTCTTCAGGAATTCGCCCGTCTCTGGAAGAGGCTGAACATGTGTAAGGTAAGAGCTGATATATAAAGCAATATGGATTTATCTCTATTTCTAGAACTAAACCAGACACTCTTCTGCAAGGACACCAGTGCTGCCGATATTGCGCTCGAGCATTTGTTCAAATGATGAATGTTGTTTCAATGTGACTCTAAGCTGCTTAACTTTGCAAAGTGTCCGCCTTCCATGCTCAAGCCAAAGACTAGCATTTCCTCTAAAGTAGAACTCTGGGTTATTTTTGTATGTATTGTTCAGCATATTTAAAGGTAATAAAGCAGCTTTGGCTGAAATCCTCACCACCTCTCCAGTGATGCCCCCTACAGTCCCTCTGATCCAAGTAACAGTATCCTCTCCATGTCTGGGTTTAATGATGCCTAGCATCATCTAATCTGCTTCCTATCAATGACTCAACACCCGGGGGGCACCTGTGGTGACCTGGACTCACAGAACAGCGCTAACACACAATAATGTGAGCGTCATTCTGTGCATCAGTAAGGCTCACCCTTGGTCCTGGCTGGAAGAAACATGGATATTAAGTATGAAAGCTGAGCTTTTTTAAAAGCTGAACTCCATACAAACAACTAACTACACAGATTAAATATAAATGAGAGCGTTTGTACCTGGGAAAGGATTTAAATTTCTGTCCATATCTAGTCCTGAGATTTACACTGCTCTGCTCAAAAGCATATGTCTGTCTAGC